TCAACTAGATGTTATAGTTGTATAACTTTAGGTTTTCTCCCAATATTTTCCAGGAGATTCACCTGAGCACTGGAGCATGCAGAGTGGCCAAAAGCAGATTATTGTAGCATCCCTTACAGGTAACCCACAAAGAGACAGAAAGATGTCAGTGACCCTCTACAATGACCCCAGACAAATTTGCGAGCAGAAGCAAACTACCAGGAAAGGAGTCACTGTGAGAGCTTTGCCTACAGCTCTCACCAGAGGCCTGGCTCCTATTTGGTATTATATTGACCCAAGGGTAAATTGGATGATTTTCTCCACATCTGCTCCACTGGCTCTCTCATCTATTGAATTTGTACTGAACTTTTATACACACAAAATAAGATCATGTGTATAAAAGTAGGATCATTGTGAATTTTATCTGTATATATCTAGGTCATCCTCGTAAAATTTTTAATATTCTATATGGGAATAGACAGATGCCTAACCAAAAGAGATTCATGCTTGGTTAACATTTAAAATTATTTCTTGTCATTCCTTTTAATTTCTAAATTGTAATTTCTAAATGTCTAATTTTAATTTTAAGCACTTTGAGGAGTATCAATAACCACTAAAACTAAGATAGAGGTGCCTGCCAAGACCCAGCCTCCTGCATCTTGCTCAGTGTGAAGGAGCATCACTCTCCCTCTGTCCCTTGTGTATAAAGGTTCTCCCGAGGAACCGTACCAATAGGATACACATATTTACATACAAAGAGACTTATTATAAAGAATTGGCTCACATGATAAAGACATGACAAGTCCAAATCTGCAGCCTAGAGAGGCAGGAGAGCCGATGTTACAGGTGAAGTCTGAAGGCAGTCTGCTATGGAATTTTCTCTTATTCAGGGAGACCAGTCCTTTCTTTCTGTTCAAACCTTCAACTGATTGGATGAGGCCCACCTCCTTATGGAGGACAGGCTGCTTTTTCCTACTGATTAAAATGTGAATCTAATCCAAAGACACCTTGGCAGTAATACTCAGAATAGTAGTTGACCAACTATCTGGGCTCCCCATGGCCCAGTCAAATTGACATGTAATATTAACCATCATATCTTGCCACTCATCATCCCTCCTTCCTACAAGCACAAAATCCTACCATGGAAATAATAAGGCCTTCAATTTCAAGGACTGTTAGGCTGCAGTTTAGTAGCAGAAATGTAAGTGGGCTTTGACATCAAATATAGTGGGGTCAATTCCCTATTCATGAGTGTAGTTTAGGGACCTCAAGCAAGTTATTTAACTTCTCAGAATCTCAGTTTGGTCCTTTGTAGAACAGAGAGTACAATTTCTCTCTCATAGGTTCATTATGAGAAATCAACTAAATAACATCCCTGAAAGTTCCTGGCACATGATGGGCTGCCAATGAATCTTATCCTAGCAGGAGTCCCAGCTGTGTTGTTTGCTACTGATATTTAGTTGTGTCTGGCTGCCTGGTAGGGTGGGGCTGCCAGGAGACTGTTTGCTTCAGGAAATGAAGAGCCTCCAGGGAAAGAACTCATACTGAATGAGACAACAAGCCTTAGGGAGCTGGGGAAAGGCTGGCTTTGACTCTGGTGCTATGCCCCTCCCCCAGCTCAACCCCTTCCAGATGTGCTCATATTGCAATCCTGCCAAGAAAGGAGACTGAACAAAAACAAAGAGAACTATTTCTTCTAAAAACATCTGGCTTATGCTCTTGTATTTCTTCCACTCTTCTTTCCACATACAGTCACTGGGGAGAATTCTGGCTGTTTCCGCTGCCCTGGGACCCTCTTCTCTTGGACAGGTGGGTCTGGTTTACTAAGCCAAACTCAGTCTTAGGACCTGGATCCTCTGTTTGGGTTGCTTGAATGAAGGAAGTACCTGGCTTCCTTACTGTCTTTCCCGAATCTGTATTTTTTGAAGAGATAAGCATTTACAAAGACCTCCATAGGGACTTAGCTTTTCTATCCAAAATATGAAGGTCCAGTTCCTGGTTAAGTAACTTGATAGGACAAGCCACCTGTTATACCGCAGACACATTCCCTGGTGGGCCACTATGTCCATTTATTCCCCTATACAACCCCTCTGAATAAGAAAGCAGATACTCAGTAGAATAAGGACCTCCTCAGGAACTCACCTTGGGAACCAGCCCAGACGTCCTCTGGAATGGCACTGGAGAGATGCTTAAATTTTACATGATTAGACATACATTCAACCCTGAGGCTGCCGTTGTTTCCCCATTCTGCATTCCCCACCCTGCACTGGACAGTGTCTTTCAACAGATAAAAACATTTCTGCTTTCCATCCTCACCAAAGATAATTCTTCTAAGTGAGGGCTGTCCTATTGACTTTTCTGCAGTGATGGAAAGGTTTTATATCTGCACTATCCAATGTAATAGCCACGCATCGCTGTTGAGCACTTTAAATGTGCTAGTGTGACTAATGAACCAGATTTTTAATGCTATTAGTTAAAATAGTTTAAATTGCAACTGATAGCTAGTGTCTACCATATCACGCCATGCATATCTATAAAATCACTCCTCAGCCTCGCGAGACTTTCTCTGCCATCCAATGGATCCATGACCCTATTTTCGGGATTCCACCTCTGTGTCCCATTCTCTTCGTAAGCTTCAAATTTTAATGAATTTGAATTCCTCAATGAGTAAATTCATGTACAATAATTTCTGATAGAAGTAGTTCCATACAACCTTCAAATAATCCTGAGACAGCTAGTTATAAATTTAATCTTGGCAAGTTGTTTTGAGGTTCATCACTTGCAAGCCCTCACAATAAAACCCAAAGGATAAATACCAGTTTAGTTATCTCTCCAATTCCCAAAGAACTTCTGAGCCTCCTTGTTTGCCCAGGATTCTCCCAATGGATGGTCTCCTGTCGTCCACCCTGCCTACCTGTCTGTTCATTCCCTTCCCCCACAGTAGACTTAGGGGTTACCCTTCTTCTAACCCTGAAGGCCAAAAGTATATTCATAGAGTAAAAGCATTTCCCCACACCCCAAAATGTTTTACGTTTTAAAACTGTATCATTGTTTTCTTTGTTGTTCTGAACAGAACCCATTCTATATAATAGATATAGATATAGATGATATACATTAGAGATAGAGATAGATAGATATATGGTTTTCAGAAGCTTGCCCTGGTGGAACAAAACTAAATGGTCCTCACAATTGATTCTCAAATTTCAGAGTGCACAAGACTAGGACAGTTTCACAGATGCATCCTCTATATTCCCATTTAGTAGGTCTCAGGTGGGACACAGAAATTTGCATTTTTGCAAAAACCCCAAGGCATACTGATGCAGGTAATTCTTGGAAGTCACTTTTAGGAAACCTGAACTAGAAAAAAATAACTTACGTTTCTTCATTCCATCTGTGAAATCTGTACAAGAATTTGATGGCAAAGTTAAGCACAAAATGAAAAATGCAACCTAAGGCAACTGTCAATAATCAAAGGCATTATTCCCTGATCTTAAGTTTTCTCCTCAAACTTTCGAGTCACTTATATCATTCAGTGATGTGCTTAATTCTTTCCCAGGAATCTAAATCAAAGTACATCCTGAACCCACCTCAGAAATTGTTCTACTCGGAACGCCACTCCACACCACAGTCCAGTTGCCTGGTGTCCCTCCTACCCTAGTGTCATTCACAGGGCCCATTATACTCAGGCATCAGTCACTGCTACGCAGACCACCTCTATACCTCTTCAGATGGGCTTTGCAGAACGCCTATGACACTTTATGCCCTACCTCTTTCTCACATCCCAGGGGCCTGAGCTAAATTTACCTCTCTGGACTGTGAATCTACTCCTGCTGCTAACCTTGAGTTTTTAAAGCTCTGACATATAACAACAAGGCTTTTGATAGCAGCAAGCCTGTGACAGGTGAGAAAAGCATGTGCATTAAAAGTAAAATTAGAAAGCTCATGGGCTCCTGAAACCTTCATTCCTGCCTAAGGCTGTCAAAGGTTTCCTTGCTTCTAGAATATATTTTCTGCCCTCTGGGGACAAATTCATTTGACACATATTTGTCTTCTGCAAATCAATGGACAAACAAAGCACATTAATAGGATTTTAGGACCTTCAGAATTTAGACTAACTTGGGCAGGAGTCATGATGGATGTTCAGGAAATGGGAGGAGAAGGGCTAGAAGGAGCTGGCAGAGACATCTCATTACTTAGGAAGAGCAATGACTGGGTACCTGACTCAACTGCAGCAACAAGCACCACTGCGGGGTAGATAATATTCAAAGGGACAGACCCAGTCTTTGAGTATTGGCATCAGTATTTGTTGGAAGGGCACAATGGTGAGAGACCCGGGCAGCAGCAGTTATCCTGTGGCTGTATATACTAGTACATTAGGATCCCAATATGCATCTGGAGCCAATGGCATATTGTAGAATACAATATGGTTATGGCTTGGTTTGAAGCAAGACAGTAAATTTGTATTCTGAAATGCAAAATTAGGCAGATAGATAACAATGTCCAGGTGGCTATAACAAAATAAATACTTCTTTGCTCTGTCAGAATTAGCTCAGGAACTAGCATGACATGAGAAGGACTAGTAGTCACTTTTGTGCCATTTGTCCTAATACTCATCAAGACAATGGAGCTACCACTTTTTTTTTCTAAATTTGGGGTGGTGGTGGTCATAGATGAAGAACTTGGCTCTGGAGCTGTCAAGAGTCAGAAGAGCTCTAGCCAAACAGAAAGGGCCTTTAAAGCTCGTTTCAAAGCGTTCCTGGATCTGGTGGTCATTTTTCATTTGATCAGTAACCAAAAAAAGGTCTTGGCCACTTGTCGACAATTAGGATTAAAACAGGTAACAAATGCTCTGTTGCCTCATAAGGGACTTAGGCCCACCAATTGGCTCCTTTACACCAACTAGCAAGAAAAAAGTAAACGAGGGACAAGTTGGAGTGCATGACCATCTGGGAGAGAGTGGGAACACATTCCAGCTGGCAAAGACCCTACACCCTGGCTGCAAGCTCGCCTTGACCAGCTTGTCCCAGCCACAGGACACGATGATGGGATTGCTGCTGTTGGGTGAGAAGCGCACACAAGACACCCACTCTGAGTGGCTCTCATCCTACAGATGAATATGAAATTAGGGAAAACCATCCTGACCATGAAACTCTTGATCCCACCCCTTAGTTATGACAACAATCTGTTTTCATACCTCCAAACCAAAACCTTCAAGATCGATGAAACCTTCGGCAGATGAAGCCTGAGATCACCACATAAGGCCCAGGTTCAGAGGGTGGGAGAGCACCTTAATGCATGTCTTTACTTTACCTGGACAGTGTATTTGCGTACACCCAGAGTATTCCATAACTTGATGGTTTTATCTCGGGAGCCAGAGACAATCTGCCAGTTGTCTGGAGCTACCATTTTTGATATTTGGACTCTGTTATAATCATTCAGGCTACATCATAAAACACACCATCTGCACCAGTTGTAAGCTCCACACCCAGACTTGTCACCATCTACCCTTTGCATTACCATTCCAGTCAAAGCGAATCCTCCTAAGGAATCAGGAAGGCCAAGGCTTATGAGCGGGATTGTAACAGTGCTCCACATTCAACTCAACTGTTTAGACCATGCCCTCCAAGTTAATCCTCCAAGGCTACCGTCCTTTTTCTTCTTTCCTGTCACTCTCACCTCCACTAGTTTTGAAAGTACCATCTAAAGAGAAATATTCAAGCCTAGCATAGCTGACCAACATTTTGGCAGATGAAAATAGAATGCTTATGAGAGGTGTATCAATGCCAATCAAATGCTGAATTAAATGAAACCAAAGGTATAAGATCACCAAGGGGAATAAACTACTGCTAAAATATGCAAATGCAAGTTTTTCATGCTTTTGACAAAAAGAATTAATGCAAAAAAAATGAATCAAATATGGGCAGTGTGTGAGCTAAAAACCTGCTCCACCCAAAAGGTTTTTCTGTTCAATATACAACACAGGCATTAATTTGCATGTGTTTATTACTCCGAATTTTCAAGCACATTGGAGGTCAATTAAGAAACTGATAAACCTCTCTCTTGAAAAGATTAAAGGAGAAAAACACATCATTAATATGCTCACCAGAAAACAGAACTCCATCATCATTGCTGAAGGTAAATGCCCACGTTTACATGAGCAGATGGAAGGCTAATGATAAAGTTGTCCTTCTTTTCACACCTCAAATAATGGATGAAATAGAATCTTCATCTGCAATATAACAACAGACATACATTAAAATGTTTCATGCTTGAAAAGAAAAGTATCACCTGTCAAACTCAGAAAAAAGCTTTATACTACTTATTCAAGCAAGGTTCACAACTTATACTGGATTTGAATAATTAATAGTATATTCATTAAATACCTTAAAAAAGTCAAGTTATTCAAGGGATATACATATTACCTATAAGCAATAGCTAATCAATATCTACAAAGTTTAAACAGATTAAAGAAGAAGTTTGGAAAAAAAAAATATATATATATATATACACAAACTAGAGCAGTGATGGCGAACCTATGACACGCGTGTCAGAGATGACACGCGAACTCATTTTTTTGGTTGATTTTTCTTTGTTAAATGGCATTTAAATATATAAAATAAATCGCAAAAATATAAGTCTTTGTTTTACTATGGTTGCAAATATCAAAAAATTTCTATATGTGACACGGCACCAGAGTTAAGTTAGGGTTTTCCAAAATGCTGACA